GCACGTATGTAATTATTATTATATTTCAAATTATATTCTAAAATATTTTATATTCATATTTATTAAGATAAATCATCTCGGTTTACTTTGATAAAATTTTACAATTATTATTTAAAAATAATATTTTAGGAAATAACGAAGCTTACCACGTACAAAAGTAGTAATCCATTTTCAAATTATGTTTGCCATTTTAAATATCATTGAACTGAATAATTCGACTATTTCGATAGCTTTTAATTGTAACTGTATGCCAATAAATTCTATGGCGTTAATACTTGTTTTTACACTGTAATTTATATTTAGTACGTGTGACACATTACCGAGTTACGAGTGACACATTAAAATCTCATACATAGAAAATGCATCCTGCTGATTAAAAGTTACGCCTGTTTTAGTATTTACTCACTCTTTCTCTCTTTATCTCTTTCTACTTCAATAGGGGAGGTTTGTTCATTGTTAGAGAAAATACTTGAATTAACGTTTAAATATTAATAGTACTCGTTATCGATTCACGTCACACGAAAATTATTGCTGTTTATCGTTGTACCATTTACGATTTTATCAACCAATAATAATAATATTAATTATGTTTAATTAATATCATTTATCTAAATTATAATTTAAAATGTGCGTTATGTTTAAATAAAATATAAAATAAACAAATTATACAGAGAATCTGACGAATGCACAGTTTTAAGAGTAAGATAATTGTAGGATTTATTTATTATAATATTATTACCATATATAGAAAAGTCACCAAATGGTCTCTCGATGGAATAGCTGATAAAAAGTACACTTTTCCAAATTCAAGCAATAAAAATGGAATGCTGAATGCGATAGTTATAGATAGACACCAAAATCGTAGGATGTTTATCAAAGAAAATATAATTCGTCGGAAACTAAGTAAATATAAATAATCCTTTTTTAGAAACTCAGGTATAAAATTATTTTTGTTAGTATGCTTTTCAATTTCACGTTTTCATCTAAATTCATATGCTGTCTAACAAACATTTTAGGATAGACGAAATAAAGACGTTACGAAAAACATGTGGAAATTACTGCTGGACTGAACGAAAGTTCTAATAAAATGCAATGAGAGATCTAATCGCGATATTCTCTAGAAATGTTTTTTCAACTCTATAACCTGGCACATTTCGAGACCCTTATTATTTACAACATATCTCGTCTTTATTCTTTGAACAACAAACTTATCTTTCTAAATACTCTCGTTTAAATAAAGATCTGAACAACCAAAAATCTAAAAAAAAACGCATTGAATCGTATCGCTTTCTCAGCTTATCGAACTGTGTAAATAACGAGTCTCGAATTTGGGACCAGTAATAAACTCCACCAATTCACGTTGGGTGTTCAGCCTGTTAAAAATGTTTTTATTTGATCAAACAATTGACGTAAATTTCTCTATAACGTAAATATTAAAATCATTAATATAATTTTTTTTGTATTCCTTGGTCAATACAAATCTTTGTATATTTTTTATAAAAACATATAAAAATCAAATTTAATAAACATATTTTGTCTTTATGAATCAAATATATTTTATGAAGAAGCAAATTAAAAATGTGACAGTAATTTACTTGTTTTTGAATGGAATTTTTTCAGCTGCTCCTAATGTATTCTACAGTGTTCTCTAATTCATTTCTCTGATATATCTTGTAATCATTCTTTTTTGTAAAATATTGCAGACAATACAATTATTACATATTCTATGTATTTCCTAATTATTAATTTTAATATTTGCGATATAAAGAATTTAATATTAATTTTTCAATAAAGTAGAATCATTTTTAAATAGAAAAAGATGACACTTTGATAAAAAAAAAAAAAACAAACCACGCACCTTCTTTCTGTATTTTGACCGTCGGTTCGTTTGTACCTTATTCTTCTTATTTTGTCGAATACCTACGTTCTTATCTCTATTTATTCTTTTACCCTTATATCGCTCCTACCTACAAACAGGTATAGGATCGAAATAATATCTACGTATCTAATGTCTACGTTTCGTAGTATGCAGTCGCTCACAAGCACACACATATACAACCAGGAGCGATAACTACGAAGTATAGCATAAAGAGAAGACCGAGAATAGGAAAAACTGTATAGCTGTATTCTGTTTTATTCTTTCGCAGGCTCAATCCTATATGTTTGTCTCTTTTTCTCTTCTTACATCCGTTTCAGTCCGTTTTCGTTATACTGTTCCGTTACTTTTTTTTCAAATCACACCTATTCTAAAGAAGTTTTCACTTCAAAAATAACGAATCATTTGTTAAAATATTATTGTAAATAACTTTTGTAAATAATCTAATGTAAAAAGTGTAAAAAGTGAGAAGTCGTTTTACGAAAGAAATTTAATTGCAGATATATAGCAGTGACGCAGCCGATAAAGTATGCCAAACACAGGAACAATAGAAGAGTGTGGATGACGATACTGTTGGTCTGGGCGATATCAGCCGCGATCGGCAGCCCGATTGTTCTTGGCTTGAATAACACTCCCAATCGGTTACCGGACCAATGTCTCTTCTATAATACAGACTTCATCATATACTCAAGCCTATCCAGCTTCTACATACCCTGTATCATCATGGTGTTCCTCTATTATAACATATTTAAGGTATTATTCTTTTGTTTTTCTCTTTAACGCATGTACCACTTTTTTAAGTTATATTTTTTTGCAAATATTTGTGTTGATAAACTATAATACTGATCACAGTGTGTAGTGTTATTTTTTTATATAATATATGTTAGCGTTGATAATTTTAAAATTAATATTGGTAAAGAAATTAAAAAACTTATTTTATGATTTATTGGGTTGACCGAAAATGTTTAGCCAATTTTGAAAAGAAAAAATTGCATTCAATATTGAAAATATGCTGAATGAATTTTTTTTAAGGATCAAAAGGTCCCCTACTCATTATGTTTTCTCTAAAGTTGTTATTGATTTTATACAAAAATTTTATCGAGCGAGCATTTCAGGATATCCCAATGTTTCAAAAATCAATTAAATTAATTTTTTTATTTGAATTTGATAAGAGGATAATTAAATTTGTAGATTAGTGCTTACACTGTGTAATAGTTTTCGAATATTATCGTACATTTAAGATATCAAATATTTTTGTTTCTGTTTCTAACTAATACTTTTCTTCCTTTATTTTTAATTCGGATAATCTCGTTGTTAGATTCCAGTAGTGGTCACTGTGGTTTTAAGCGATTACATTGCGGTTTCTCGTTAAATACAATCGTTTCGTTGATTTATCCCTTGAAAGGTACATTGTCCAAATGTGTGACCAGTGTTCACCACTACTAGGTAATTTCCAACGAAATTCTAATTACTTGAAATTAGTATAGTTATATACTTTTACGTTTAAAAATATAATACATTTATATCTATTTATAATTTAAAATCAGTTGATCATTTATTATTTATTTTGAAACAATATATATTTTATTTTATCATTGATATTGATATTCAATTACACGTTGTGAAATCGTTTCAGGGTCTACGAAATAGAGCGAGAAAAGCTCGAGCTAATCGAAAACCAAATCTAGTAGATATAAAGCCGGGCAGTATCATAGAGAATATCGCGAACACCCGGAGGTGAGTAAACGTTTGTATTCCGTATCGCTACCTATCATATCTAACGTTTATGTTAGTCAAAATAAATCATGGAATATAATTGTAATATTTATTGAGAAACATTCAAATTACTATGATAACTATCGATGATATCAATATACAATAATATTCATTTTTATATTTGCCAGTTCACAAGTTCTTAGGAAAAGAAACGAAATTTTTTTATCGTCAAATAAAAATTTAAATATTTTAAAGAAATTTATGAAACAGATATCTATAAAACTGCTATTTATTTACGTGAGTATTTTTTAAATAATTTTAATCAGTATTCAAAATAAATAATTATTTCAATGTGTTACTCTTACGTAACTTTAATGATATAAACCACCTTATTATCAATACTAATAATATATTTGAAATACTGAAAAATTATTAATAACGCTATTCTATCAATTTACCATTAACATTTGAAAATACTGATTAAAAATAGTTAAAAATACTAATCATATAAATGGAAACAAATGTATAATATGTGTTTAAAGCTTACAGCAACCATTCGCACGAACGCTTCTGCACGCGAGCATAAACGAAAATACGATTAGAAAAGACAAAAGGATTTATTGGAATGATACGCTCGAGATGCTTTAACTGTTACTCTTTCCCAAATCGTTAAAAAAAAGCGACAAAAAGAAGGGGAAAAAACCGTAGGAATATCTCGCCCAAATTCGAGGTGATTTTTTATAGAGGATTAAGGATTTGGATTCGTGAGGGTCCCTATCGCGTGTTTTTTCATTTCACTTGACACTTTACAACACACACCGAGTACATTTCGATTCATTAAGTTGGCTCAGGAAGGAAATTGCTTCTCAAATATGTCAAAAATAAATTATTTTTATTATTCCCTTTCGAAAAAATTGTCTTAGGTTGTTTCTTGAATATCTTCAAACTATATTCAAAACTTTCGAATCCTTTTTTTCAGAAGGTCTTCAAATCGTTTGCCCTTTGTTTCTAGATAAGACAAATTCTAATAAAATCTATATGTCGATAAATAAAACAAAGGAATAGGAATAAAATTATAAGATATCAATTTACGCTTGTGTTAGTTTCGTTGTAAAGAAAACATACTTCGATAGTCGTTAAAAATTCCAAATAGGATAAATTCTATTACTAAAAACTAAGAAAATTACCATATATGCACATTCACAAAGTAAGATAGATATAAACCATAGTTCATACTTTAACCATATAAGTGTAAGTTCGATAACACATAGAGGGGGAGTGTGAGAGGGTAGGTTGATACCCTTATGTATACCCATTTAACACAGAGGATCTAACATCAAAGCGTTATCGTAGAACGCGCATGGAATTAATTACACATGCTCTCGCGGTAGGACCCGTTTGTTATTATTTATGGTTTCGTTCCATAGCTTGTGGAGGGTGTTTGTGGAGGGGGTTAGGGGGAGGAGGTGGTAAAAGAGAAGATGGAGGAGGAAGAGGAAGAAGAAGAGGGGAGGTGTTATCGATAAATTGGACTTAGGTGTTTACATCGTCGAGCCACATTTTGGCTCTCTAACTTCGTCTTTCCTTTTGGGTTCTGTATATCCAACATAATCTCAGTTCCGCGTTAATCCTAGTTACATCCTCTCTCCCTCTATCTGTCTCTGTCTCACTCACTCATTTACTCACTCACTCACTCCTACTCTTACACAAACGTATAGATGCATACATAACTACGTATATACACATGCGTACATGCATACATGTTACATAGGTTATCCTTAGCAAAATTCTCTAGCGTTGAACGATCTAGTCTTATCGACTACGTAATCATATGAAACAAAATTTAGGTCGATATCCAAGCATGACCTCGACGATACTTAGCAAAACTTACGAGCAGTATCGTCTTTGCCTGGCCAATGTTGAGTGTTAAAGCGTATTTTCTGAGATCATGGTTCCTCCTTGCATCCTTCGTATTCTGTTATCTACAAAAGTCAAGCGATCTACGTTTCCCTTCTTGGAAATAAATTTCTTCTCGACTACGGAACCAACCTACTTATGGTTGCCTCTGTCACACATTAACCGTTTTGCTTTCGTTATACCTTTTCAGTATACTTCTATCCCTCTATCTCTCTCTCTCACTATTTTCCTTACGTAGTATTTGAAAATAAGCAGATCATAAATAAGAAAAAGAACGGTTCCGTTTCGGTATTAAAAACTTAACGATTTTGGGGTTATTACCAGAAGTTGTTTATCAAATAATTCCTATTATCATCCATTACCCAAATGTTATCAACTTTTCTTTTAGGAAAATTCAAAAGTTGATCTTTAACTAGATAGTCCGAACTTAGTTGGTAATCCAAATGGAAAAGTTGTGGTAGGGTTTTATGCATCTGTAGAACGGGTTTTCTTTAAAGTTATCTTGAAGGAAGGAACAAAGCTTGTTTGCTGTTTTCTTCTTTGATTATACCTATCTCTTTATCTATTTTGTTTTTTTCTTTTTTTTTCAAGAATTTCTCTTAATTCTACTTTGAAATTTATCTTAGCTAGAGCAAAAAAGAAAAGAAATAAATTTCATTTTTTTCGTATCTGTATGAACCACTACACAAGAAGCAGGATTATAAAATCTACTTTTTCTCTTTTTCTAATCTATTTTTATTATATCGGTCCAATCATATTCCATCTATCCTTAAAGAATTCTTACTGTGTATAGGCATGAGTTGAGCGCAACGATGGTTTATTTCATTTCATATCTTCAATGTGGCAGAATACTCGTAAACGTGATATCGTTCCTGAGAAATAAGGTCGCATTTAACCTTTTAAACGAAAATATGACGTTGTTCATAGGTCGCATGATAGATATCCTTTTCTAGTTCATGCTGTATGTGTATTTTTCTCTGTCTCTCATTCTTTATATCTATCTTTTTCTCTCTCTCTCTCTCTCTCTTTTTCATTCGCTTTTTCTATCTCGCTGGTTTATCTCTTTTTCTCTTTCTCCCTTCACTCTCTATCTTTCTCTTTCGCGGTGATGACTCGACGCTGGCTGAAACGATGGAAAGAAAAGAAAGCATGATAAGTGTAGAAGCTTTTCTAGAAAGCTTTTGACTAAGATCACGTAGTGGGTTTTCTGTGGCAAGGTTCGCCGAGACGGCGTTGGGGGCAGCCGCCTTGGTGGCTCCCGGCATGGAGGAGCCAACGAACACAGCTTCCGGGAGCAACGAAGATGAAGATGAAACGCCTCTCGATCCAGTTGTCGTCATCTCCAATGACAAGAGCACAGAATTTTTCTTAGCCACTGTCGTCGAAGAAGCAGCGTAAGGCAAAACAACTCGTTATATTATTTTGACAGATGTTGGATTTTGTTTTTTTTTCTTTTTCGTATTTAAGAGGTCAAATATTTTCTAAGAATTATATCTAATCTCCCCCATTCTTCTCCTCTTCTTTAATTAACCCTAATTCTTTGTTTAATTTAATTATTTTCTTTCTCCTTTATTTTGGTTAATTTTATTTTATTTAAAAAAAAAAAATTAATTTTAGAAAAGGGTCTTATCTTTTATTAGCTACGAATAACTTAAAACCTTGGTTTGAAATATGATATATACATATATGTATTATATTTTGTTTTAATGTAATGTAGATATATATATTTAAAAATATAAATTACATATATACGTAAATTATATATCTGTTTAATATATAAATGTAAAATAATTTTATTTTAAATAATAAATATATATTTCTACACGCGATAAAACAAAATTAAAGATCATCAGATACTTTGCCATGCGAAATTAAATATAGAAAATTATTTACATTATTTGAACGGATATAAATTCTGTATTTTTCGAATTCTATACGTATCGGTCTATCTCCATAGAAAAATAGATGAGATTACTATCTAGTAACTAAAAATAATTTTGTCATAACCAAAGTTATGGTAAACTTGAACGAGTTTCCTAACATAATTTTCAGTTACAACCGGATATCTATCCCTGGTTGCGACTTATATCGCAGTTGAGAACGAAGTTTAATAAACAAGTTTTCGTAGGGTCATCTCGTCGAAAGGCGGAAAGCAGTAAGGATTACCTGGACCGTTCGTATTAAAGCATGGAAAGGGACGAAACCGAAAGCCCTTAAAACAATTACACTTATACTACTTACTCTTAATGGTATCCAAGCGTGTTTAGTAATAGTAATCGAAATTACTGTAACTCTATATATGCTTTTTCTTACCATCGATTAGATTCTTTAATTAACGAATTCTTACTGCATTATTTTCTATTCTTCTTAATTTTTTTACTTATATATGTCTTTCTCTCTCTCTCCCTTAACTTATCTTTTTTTTACGCTTCATTGTCACTTAAAAAGAATTATATAATAATAATAGAACCCGTTGAAAGGGAGAGAAAATGATCAAAAACTTTTTCTACTTAGTCATCTTCTAATTCTCTCTTTTTCTCTGCTTTCGGTCAAACGATTTCCGTCAGAAAAGAAACTCGTCTGAGTTTAAACTCGGGCACCTACTATCGATCCTTTTTCTTTCTCGTGAAGTATTAGAATGGAAAGAAAGAAAAGGAAAGAAGTTAACCGACAGAAAGAATACAATGGATGGCAAAAGAAAGAACTGGGAAGATGTTCGGTTCGCAAAGATTTCTCTACTTTCCCTCCTACAGTGTTAGAGAATTCGATTCTTTGTACTTTTGATCGTGAGTGTAAGCACGAGTATCACTTACTCGGCCCCATTTTCTAGTTTGCTATGAAAGGTTTGGATTTACGCTAGACGTTTAATCGGAAGTAGTTTCCTATAGAGATAGTAGTCATTGGATTTTCAACGTAATCACAATAAAGAATAAGAAAAAGAGAGAAATAGAGAAAGAAATGTCGATTAAAGAGTTATCCCAATTTCTTAATTTAGTACTCAAAACCATTTAACATCTTTTTTAACAACTCAGAGAAGTATTTGACCTTATCTAACTCGTAATATGTTGTAAAACTATCACAAGGTTTCTAATACTCGAATGATGATGGAATCATTTAAGTATATGGACCAATCAAATGATCAAAGTTATTTAATTACTACCGTTTTGATAAAAGTATAAGAGTAATAATCAAAATTATTTAAAATATTAAAAACCTTAAGTAATGTTTTCTTATCTATCAAAGATGGATCATTGCTGCGATCTAATTTATGAATTTTAAATGTAATTTTTTAACTTGATTCAAAATTAAGTTAAATAGCTCCAACTATTTATCATCCTTTTAAATGATTTGAAAAATATTTGACCTTATCAAATTCGTGATACTCAGAAAAATAATTCCCAAGGTTTCTGATACTCGAATGATAGTTGTCGTTTCAGCGCCGTGGCGCAAGCACAATTGGGTGAATCAAATGGTCGAAGGAATTCAGGTTACAACGGTGCAGCTAGCAGTACAATGATTCATGAACAAACCGAGACGAATTCGAGTCCAAGTCCAAATCCAAGGATCACATCAGCTCCATCATCTTCAACATCATCTTCGCCACCTCCTTCAGCAAGACCTGGATCAGTAGCGGCTGCTAGTGTTCAGAGCTCGCAAACAGATCGGAAGAAGAACGGAAATGGTGGAAACAAACAGGAACTTAAAAGGCTCAAAAATGTTGGTTCTATGCTACATCTACCACTTGGTAAAACACCATGCGTATTATCTGGCAGCTCAACTGTTTGTAAAAAAGATAAGAAGAACGCGAGTTCTGGTTCGAAGTTCAACATATACAAGACTAACAAGGCGAGTAAGAAAAAGAAGGAAAAAAGTTCAGCCAAGAGGGAAAGAAAAGCTACTAAAACTCTTGCTATTGTTTTGGGTAAGAAGTTTTAACAGTATAGGTGATTCTTGTAAGAGTTTAGTATTACTTGTCTTATCGATAATGCAGTATCGACATATTCAAACTTGACTAGTTAAAACATTTTGAAACTTCGGTTACAAGTTACTACACATCGATCATTTTCTTCAAAATCTTCCATCTATCCATGTTCAATTTTAATTATCTGTTTACTAAATCTTAACTTGGTTATATTAGAAGCATACCTTTCGTCTAACTATTACAGGCGCATTCCTGATTTGCTGGGTACCCTTCTTCACGTGCAACATCATGGATGCAATGTGCGACAAGTTAGCCCAACCCTGTCAACCAGGTGTCACGGCCTTCATTATCACCTCGTGGCTCGGTTACATGAACAGTTTCGTCAATCCCGTCATTTACACCGTCTTCAACCCCGAATTCCGAAAGGCCTTCGGTAAACTTATGCGCCTTTAAATTTCGAAATTAAATCGTGGAAGAAATTGTGAAAGGATTTACATATTGACATTTTAAAGTTGAGTTGAATAAATTGGGAACATTAAATTTATTTTTCCTTTTAAATAAGCGAAAAAAGGGAATGGAATATTAGATTTTAGAAAAGACTAAAGCTCATCGATGTGTCAGAGTTTATCGTCTCGCACTAATTATGAGTATGACTCTTAATTGCGAGTATCATATGTTAACTTTTTTAGGGTTTTATTTTTCCAAAATCATTCGTGGATAACTTATAATGTAAAGTAGGACTCTTAATGACAAATATTTTTTCTTAAATTTTAGATAAAATATTTTGTTTAGGTTTTGTTTCTTTTTTAGGAATATGTATTGGTAAAACATAAATTGTAGCAAAATTATTTAGGACTTTAGATTATGTTTATTTTACCAGTACCATCTGACGAATATAGATGTAAACAAGCTAATGATCTTAAAATATAAATTAAGGAACGTTACAATTGTACAAAGTATCTCCATAAAAATTTCAAACGACTATTCGAAGGACTCTTACGAACGTAATCGTTCGTTTAAAATAATATAATAATAATAATAATAATAATAATAATAATAATAATAAAAATAAAAATAATAATAATAGTAATAATAACAACAGCGTCGCTCGATAGAAAACGTTCTTCATTCGACGACATCGTTTTTCTTTATGACTCTATCTACTCCAATTTTTTCCGTTGAACTTATAGAAATGTATAAGAAGATAAAAGAAAGAAAAAGAGACTCGGGGGTTCATTAACTAGGAATATTTGTGTTGTGTACGAATGTTATTATAAGTATACCTACATTTTTCGTAGATATATTATCGAGTAACGCCGTGACAGTATTACTATCCTAGTTATCCTAAAAACTTAGCAATATTTTTTGCTCTGATAATAAGAGCGCGTTAGTTGAAAAATGAAGGCAAGCAAACCAACAACAGCAACAACAAAAATTTAGAAACCGCAGTTTTTACGAACGTGATTCCATATATCAAATATCGAGGGGAAAAGAACATGCTCACTAAAACATAGATATTCGTGGGATAGTTTCGACTCGGTGTATTTCTAGAACTCATACACCATTCTATGCATATATTTAACCAATTCTGATATTAACATTTCACGAACATGCATCTACGTAAAAAAGATCTTCATATTCGAATGATTTAAATCATTAAAAAAAGATACAAAATCGATGAAAGACAAACATTTCGGATTATCATCTTCGCATCTTTGATTTGTGTGGAGATTAAACAAAAATTTCCTAAAGTAAGGAAAAATCACAAACATAACTCGCGATCGAATTTTTCAAACATATCAGTGTGTTAGTATGAAATTACACAGTGTTATCCATTCGTTCTATCGACTCTCAAAGAACCTTTTTACACAAACACACACACTTACACACATAAATACATATTAACGAAGGTGAATATTCACTTATTGTACAAGAGCGATAAGAACAAAAAAAGATGGAAAGAGTTAGGATAAGAAAATGATAGGAATAAGTATGTAATAAGTGTAAACGTATACGTCTCGGCCGATTTAGAATATTTCGCGCGTGTCACGTCTTATTGCAATAATGTTAAACAATCGAATGAAAGCTTTTTACTCTGTTATTTTCCAAACTAAGCTTATAGCCTTTAAGTCTAATCGTGTAAATTTGTAAATATCGTAGAATCTAATCGAACGGGTGCCACTTATTAGACACACGCACACATAAGATTAATAAATAAATAAAATAAAATTGTTCCAACGTTTTTTGGCGTTCGAATTCGTGCGAGTTTAAAGTGATCTATCTATGTCATGATAATAATTACATCTACAAATTTATTCTGATTCGATGATTATAGAAAAAATTCCGTCGAGAAAGGAACGTCGTTTTAACTTGATTTATGAGTCTTGTAAATTTGACGTATTTTACATTCAACTTACAGATATTTTTTGGTATTGTTTTCTTTTTCTTTTTAGGAATTCTGTGGACTTTGATCGATGTAATCATATGAACACAAATTTAATTTATTTATTTATTTTTTCCAATACGACTATTATACTAAATTTTAAAAATCTGTTTAATTGGCGAAGCTTAAATTAAAGTTGTTGTTAACAATTTTAAATCTATAATTCTCTCTCTCTCTAATAATTTTAAATTATTCGTGATATATTTGTATTTACTTAATTTATAACTAATTTCGAATTAAGACAGCTATAATTAAAAAGGAAAATTACATTTTTTTTTTATATTAAAAAGGGTAAAGTACGAGCGTAAAAGAATTTATTGTAAAAAGTTGCTGATTTAAAAAAGATTCGTTAAAGCCTATAATAACTCTGTAAATTTAGCGAAAAGTTATCAAAATGAAAGAATTCCTTTGAAAAGATAATACGAAGATGATCGACTTAAAGTACTCGACCTAAATTATTCTCTTTCACTTTTTCTATCTTTTTCTCACCTTTCTTAAAGGATTTCAAACGTTTTTACTTTTTTCATATAATATTTTTTTTTTCTTGAAATTTATTTTAAATCTTTCTTATAATTCATTCCTCATCATGCATAAAATTTATCTCGCACGTGATCAGACGCCATTAGATGCCATCGATAGCTTATTAATTAATGAAGTTTCAGTGGTTTTGCTTTCGGTGTCGCTAACAAGAGGAAGCAGAAGCCGACGGAAGTGCATTTCTATGTCGAGCTAGTGAAATCCGTTTGTGTTCGTCTGTCACGAACATCCGACGTAGAGAAGATACGAATAAAACTCGAAATTATTAAATACGAAAAACGAGAAAGGAAAAGAATTTTTTTATAATTTAATCAATTAAATGTCGAATTCGTTTAATAATAAAAATAGAAAAAAAGTAAAATATGGAACGTACGATTAGAACTCTATCTTGTTGGGTTTTTTTGTTTTTTTGTTACAAGACAAGTAATTCGATGTACTGCTGGATCGTTTAAATTGTTTTTATCATGTGTAACAAAAAATAAATCTCTTTAACATATACACGTATGTGCATACGCAAATGCATAAAACGATGAGTATTAAAACAAGATTGGATTGTGGTAAATTTCAGTTTATTATTACTGCAAAAACAATCAAGTTTTTTTCTAATTATTTTTATTAAATTAATTAGATCCGTCAGTCAAGTTATGAACCAATTAATATAATATCGCAAAATGTATTTATTTTAATATTTATTCCATTACGATATTATCCAAATAAACGAAAAAAATAAAAAAGAAATAATATAAAAAAGCCAAGGAATATTTCCAAAGAAATGAAACGAAGGAAAAAGTAAGCCTAGTCTTGTGTTAAGTATTATCTAACGTTTTTCTTTGGAAAAAAAACGTATGACAATTTCTTACAATTATAATCATTAGTAAGATCGTTGTATTTTTCTATCCTGATAAGTTGTCGTTTTCTTGTAAATAAATATCACCTATATGATATACATTCATAAACACACGCGCGTCCGTACTCACAAGTAGACACATGCACATACATAATAAAAAAATCGCATATACATAAATATATTCATGAAAAATACAAGAATACTATATTATAATAAGTTAGATGTAATAATTAATGACTGTAAGAAAGAAGCAACAAAAAAATGAAACAGGAAGTAGCACTATGTCTGTATATTCAATGTAAATATCTCTTGAAAAAAACGAATGTGTGTCAGAGTGATCAAATCAAAGATAGCGAGAGCAAGAAAGAAAGAGAGAGAGAGAGAGAGAGAGAGAATGAGTAGAAATTTAAAAAAAGAAATTAATAAAAAAAAATTGATAAGGAGGGTATTTCTGAAGATTCTCTAATTGAGCCCGGAAATCACTGAAATTCCCCAGACCGATATGATGATCGTACTCAATCATTGAAATAATAGATTTAAGGTGATTCAACGTTGCACATCGAGAAAGAATGATTGATAAAAAAAAAAGAGAAAAAAAAAATGTGAATTAAAATGAGTAAGTAAAAGTGTATGTATTGTCAAATGTGAATGACTTAAGAGATTTTCCTATGAACAAATTTCTTAAATTTAAAATAACTATTTACCAATGGTCTATACAGGGCATAGATTATAAGAGAAACGATCAATGATTTTTTTTGTTGAAATTTAATCAAAAAAAAAGAAAAGAAAAACTATACTTATAACGAGACAAAAGAAGAAGATATATTTAGAAAATTCAATCTGTGTGTATGTATCGAAGGCAATACGTATGAATAAATTTGGGCGAAGAAAAATATAAGCGCAATTATACACGTATGTATTATCGCTACAAAAAAAAAAGAAAGAAAGAAAAAAACAGAACAAAAAATACACATAAGTATATATATACAAACGATTTGTGAAAATAATTACACATGTGTAATTAAGTACATGTATACATAGATACATACATACATGCATACAAATGGAAATAAATTACTATACTCGAAGACACACGCTAACAGGCACTTGTTAAAAAGTAAATAAATATTACAGTGTAAATGAAAAATTTATTTTGCTAAAAAATTATTTATAGATGCTTAAGTATCAATAGAACTTTCCCTACCCGTATACATGTATAATGCATTCCTATATCCCAAAAAGCTCTTTAAACTTAGAACGGTAAGTGTAAATTTATATTCTTGTTCGTAACTTTAGCGAAGTTTATTCTAACAGAATGGTTTTCTACATTCTTTGCTACATAGTTGAAAATTTCATTCTTCTCTTTCTAAAAATTTAAGACCTCTAACAGAATTTTCTTATTTTTAATATTATAAGAAAATCTATATTTGAAACTATTTCCTATAATACTTTCTAATATTTAAATTAAACTAAATTTAAATATGAAAAAACTAATAGAATTCTTTAAATTATTGTAATTAAGCACTGAAAAAAGTTGCTTTATTTTTAATACCAAGTATGGTCAAAGTTGAAAAAACTACATATATAAAGACTATACAACAATATTTCTCGTTCACATAAAAGTTTAGTACACTGACTTGAATTCATGCTAACTCATTTGAGCATACTTGATATAAAGAAAAAGAAAGAAAATAAAATAAGTAGGAAAATTTCTAGGTAACGACTATCTGTAAATATATAAAAGTTATTAAAAAACATTATAAGGTAATTAGTTTCTATAGATAAAATGGATAAAAAGAATCAAAGAAAGGAATAAAAGAAATATGATATAATTTAGGAAATTAAAAGGAACTAATTACAATTATAATGTTTATGGTAAACGGTCTTTGGCTGAATTTTACTCGCGATGGAATGCATATCATAAAAATATGATAAACATTATACTGAAAGTAAAATACCATTGTCCGGGTCTAACCACGAGGAGGTAACCACTTTTGAAGACCCAAGAGGGATGTGCATCCTAAGGATGCCCACATCCGAATATAATTTAAAGGAAGAAACCTAACTCTTAGGCCCCGCCATAAGAGTACCACCATAAAAAATCCTTAGAATTATTATCGAAAATACCAGAGAAAAGTTTGAATATCCAGAAAAACAAAATGACAAACGAGGAGTGCAATCCGAATAGAATTTCAATGGAATCATCAATGTTAGAATTAACACAACCTAGAATAATTTCAATATATGCACATATGCAAATTAAAAGTTATGAAAATTTTATATTTAATAATTTTTAATGTACCTAAAATATAGTATTCAGAGTTCAGAGACACAAATCACTACACATGAAAGTTTGATGATGAATATCTTTTGAACGCCTAATTTAATCGCCAAAACATAAGACACCATTTTTATAGAGCAGTTAATTTCCTACAAAAATTTGTATTATGCACTTTTTAATAGTGATTTATTGTCGAGTTGTAAAATTCATAAGCAAAAATGAAATTTGTCTAAAAATCATCAAATTTAAATCTTCAATATCATTCAAATGGTGAGGTTTACGGAAAAAGTATTAGATATCTTTTTTGTAGAGCATTAAATTTCCTACAAAATTTGTCTAGAATATTTTTCTGTACAATCAATAAATAATGAGGTATAAATTTTAATCTATTGGACTGAAAAAAAAAATAAAAAACTCCGATGCGGAGGATCTTCCTATTAAAATTAAGAGCTCATATTGAGTGAGAATTCTTTTAAGGTGTCTAGGAACCCATTTTTGCGTGGCACTTGAAACAAAAAAATAAGTCAATTTTTTGACCCACCCTAATATATATATATATGTAAGATTTATTGAATTTAAATAGAAATATTTATTATAATAGAACAAATACTTAAATATTACGGCCTAATATAATAATAAAGAGATAGAAATCGAAAAGAAAAGTAAGTAACAATAGGTAGGATACTTAAGCTCTAAGTACACTCGTATTACACTCGTTCACTCACAAATAGTCACACCGAATCAAGAAGGCGAAGATCGCCTTCTTCGCCGCGCCTATATACTCATTCACCCCACCAATGGTCCCAATCACTTCCGTTAATCATTCTCGAAATCTCTAGACTATTCCCGACCGATTAAACAAAAGACCTCTTCCCGATTTCCGGTTCGGGAATATTCGAGAGATTTCGGGGTGCACGCTCGCTTTTCTTTCTTGCTAGACACACTCATATTCATACCGCTGCATGCACTCACACTCATATCCATATCGCTGCGTGCACCCACACTTATACCCATATCGCTGCATACTCTTACACATCTTTCACATTCATGAATTGTTTTCATGCACACCATACACTCGCACTCTTCGTCTTTCTCTCACCCTTACATATATATATATATATATATATATATATATATACACATATTAATTATATACGTGTATATTACCACAAAAAAATGTGGGTGACTCTACTATGCAAAACGATTATTAAAACATGTGTGCAGATCACACGTGTTGGAAGTGAAGCCTTCAAAAAACTAAATTTCGAGAGAATGAGACGAAAGCAAAAAAAAAAAGAAACATAAAAATCCAATTGAATAGAAATAATTTGATCTTTATGAATCAAAAATATTTTATGAAGAGCAAAATAAAAATGTGACAGTAATTTACTTTCTTTTGAATGGAGTTTATCAGCTGCTTCTAATATATTCTACAGTGTTATCTAATTATTTTTCTCTGATGTATCTTGTAATCATTTTTTTTTTTTTTGTAAAATATTGCAGACAATACAATTATTATATTTTATATATTTCATAATTATTAATTATAATATTTGCGAAATAAAGAATTTAATATTAATTTTTCAATAAAATAAAAATAAAATAGGAAAAACTGTATAACTATATTCTGTTTTGTTCGGTATTAAATCATTGGTAGACGATAACTTATATTTAGTTATTTTTTCTTATATTCAATTTCATTTGAAGAAAACCATACCATAGGTTTATGGAATCAAATATCATGAAATACAATAGGCAGGAGGTATAAGATACTGTTTACCTAAGACATTAAGAAATTCCAAACGGCCATAAATTCCCAAACTATCTCAATGATCAAAGAAACATATGGTGCGATGAAAACCCTTTAAACCGTGTCGGGCCTTTTGAAGGTTTCTGATTCATATCTAAGCACGTACGATATCATAAAAAGAAATAACATTCCGATATTCTAGATCACGTTTTTTTATGCATTGTTTCCCTTTCCCAAAAACATAAGATTTTCCTTCGGGAGATCCTGGTAGGTGGACCCTCCTACTATTGGTTAATAAATTGCATTCAGCCCCTTCCCTCTCCAAAGGGGTGTAACTAATTCAGATATAAAAACATGTGAAATCAAGTAAGACGGCTCTGTTCGTAATACATACTCTCTGTCCG